GAGACCCAATAATTGGATATTAGATCGTGTTTTGTGCATTTTTCCTTAAAAAAATGTGATGTAAAAAAAATGCAACACCCCACCATTTTATTCTCTAGGGCCTTTGAGTAAAAAAAAAATAAATAAAAAATAAATATTGTATGTATGTATGTATGTATGTATGTATGTATGTATGTATGTTCGGGGGTTCTAAGTAATTTCTAGCAAGAAAAAAGACAAAAAAAAAAACCCACACAAAAAATAAAAAAAAGACAAAAAAAAAAAAAAAAAAGTGATTTTTACATTGGCCAAGTGCTGAAGTGGTTAAGTATTTTGAAAATCTAAGAGTTTTTTCTTTGTGTGTGAAAGTATAGACCAGCTCGGTTTGTCTGCTGCTTCTATGCGCACAAAATATTAAATCTTGGTGGCCCAACCTTACTGGACTTTTATAAAAAAAATTTGGAGTTTAGTGTTACTTTTTTTTTAAATAAAAAAAATCCAATTTAACTATAAATAGAAAGGACCTTCTATCACTCACTAACTCATCATTTCATCTCTCAATTGCAATTTTGGTTTTCTTTAATATCCTCAAACGTCCTGTTTTAGGGTGGCCTGTTTGTTCTCCATGCCCCACTTGTGTATGTGAATGTAACCACCTTTTCCTGCTGACCCCCAAGATGGGCTATACATCTACAATCATATATGCATTTAAATCTATGGGGATCATGGTCCGCTCAGAGCTGAAATGTGACCAAAAATAATGGGCACTGCCTTCTCTACACCAGCATCAGTGAGCCGCATTAGGAGGATCGGGAGTACACACAGACAAATAAATAAAGACGCTTGAAAACAATGGTAGGAGGCTTTAAAATTATAAGAAAAAAAAAAACAACCACACAAAAAAAAAAAAAACAAAAAACAGCCAAGGTATACTGGATAGTTTATTGAACGATTGATGGGGGGGGGGGGGGGGGGGGGGGGGGGGGGGGGGGGGGGAAGACACACAAACACACACCATTATATACCACACTGGAGGTCATCAGAATTATACAGATTCTTACATCTCTGCATTATCACATGCAAAGTGCCTCCAAGACCCTATATATCTATAGGGGGCACCACGGCATAATCCCTAGCAACAGGCTAGCCCTATGAGATGCTATGTTAACACTTAACCACACTCCCCTTTGGCACAACAGCCACACTGAGTATAGATCTGAAATGTCTTGCCTAGGATAAATCTATCAGTATGGCAAATTTCATATAGGCAGAATTCCAACTCCCCAATCATGTGTCTTTTTGTACACAACTCTGGCTGGTTTCCCACACCGAATTCCCTGACCCATTAGGAGGATTTACCTGAATGCCCCGTTTTTATTTGGTTTTTTTTTAAACACTCGGCAACCCACTCTCATGTAAACAGATTTCCAGATCTTACAGCACCTACTTGACACACAAGTATGAAAGCCAGTAAATAAAAACAAAACAAGAAAACACACATACATACAACGTGGGACAAAATTTAATTTTTTTTTCCTTTAAGTGATCTTAAAAACTGTGAGACAGATGAGGGCCATCTGGATAAGGGATATGTGGCAAGAGGCTCTTCAGGGTCATAAAACGGTCTCTTTGAAGATCTCCAATAAGCTTACTCAATTATTTAATATTGCATACCCACTAAAGATCCGGAAGATTTTCCTCCCTTCATGACCAGGCCTTTTTTTCTGCTATTTGGCACTGCGCTACTTTAACTAGCAATTGTGTGGTCAGTTTGCAAATGAAAATTTATAGCATTTTTTGTCCCACACAACTTTTGATGGTATTTCGATCACCGCTTGGGGTTTTTATTAAATTATATACAATAAACAAAAAAACAATCACACACAAAAACACACACATACCCCAACCAAACAAAAACAATATTTTCTATTATAAAACAAATCCAATTTAAAAAAAAAAGTTTTCATAAAATTTAAGTCAAAGTGTACTCTGCTACATCTTTGGTAAAAAAAAACCAAACAAACAAAAAAAACTCCAATAAGTGTGCATTTAACCAATTCAATACCAGGCAATTTTACACCTTCCTGCCCAGGCCATTTTTCAGCGCTCTCACACTTTGAATGACAATTGCACGGTCATACAACATTGTACCCAAGCTAGAATTTTATCATTTTCTTCACACAACTAGAGCTTTCTTTTGGTGGTATTTAATCACTGCTGGGGTTTTTATTTTTTTTTTTAAATTAACAAAAAAATACCAAAAATTAAAAAAAAAAAAGTTTCTTTGTTTCTGTTATAAACGTTTGCACATAAATAATTGTTCTTCATAATTTAGGCCGAGATGTATTCTGCTACATGTCTTTGGTGAAAATAACCCAAATTAGGATGTATTATTTAGTTTGTAGGAAAGTTATAGAGTTCACAAACTATGGTATAGATCTGAATATTGATCAATCCTGAAGTACTGACAGCCAATCTAATTTCTTGAGGTCCAAGAATGTCAGAACAGTACAGATATCCCCAAATGACCCCTTTTTGCAGAGTAGACAGTCGGACGTACCTCATAAGAGGAATGGCGAGTTTTTTTGAAGTTGTATTTTTTTTGTCATAATTTTTCGGAAAATTAAAAAAATTAGTTTCACTATTTTTTTTTTTATATACGGTCACCAGTGCAGTACAGCGTCATCATATAACTGGCATGGCGGTGATCAGGGACACTGACAGTATGAAAAAAAAAAAAAAAATTATATATATATATATATATATATATATATATATATATATATATATATATATATATATATATATATATTATTTTTTTTTTTTTATTCTTATTTTTTATTAAATTTGTTTCTTTTTTTAAGATTTTTTTTTCATATTTCACTATGACCAAAGTAGTACAGTGTTGCCGTAGTAACATTGAACTACTTTGGGGAAGTGATCAGTATTTTTTTTTTTTTTTTACACAATTTGCTTATAGCAAAGAATTACTTTGTTATAAACAAGCATTTACCTGAATGACATCGATTCATTCAGGGTTTTTTTTTTTTTTTTTTGCTTAGCTGTGATTTGGCCACAGCTAATCACATGACATGTGCATGTGATTAGCTGTGACCATTCACAGCTGGACACTAGTATACAATGGATGGCATGAATGAAGCCATCCATTGTATACAACTGTCATGTGACCTGCTGTGATTGGTCACAGCAGGTCACATAGTACCAGCAATGGGGCCGATACTCAGATCTGTCATCGGCCGTGTCCGAGGTACACGGCCGGTGACAGGCTGCGCTGCTCTGCAGGAGCGCAATCTGCGCATGTGTGGGAGGACGCCATATGGAGTCCACCTGGAACGCTGATGACATTTGCCACCCGCCATTCGGCCATAGGGCGGGCGGCAAATGGTTAAAACACATACACCAAAAAAAAAAAGTTAATTTTTTTTTTTCAATATTTTATTTTTTTTCTAAAACACTTTCATTGCAGTAGTCCAGTGTCACCATAGTAACATTGTGCTACTCAGGGGGGTGATCAGGGATTTTTGTTTCCTTTTTTAACCACACACTCTGGTGAAAGCCATTGTTACAGCAAGATTTTCAACTGTCATGAATGTGTTACATTCATGACAGCATTGATTACAACTGGTCTGTGATAATCACATGGTACAAGGTGCTGCGATTGGCTCAGATACCATGTGATAGCTGTGGGCCAATCACAGCTCAATGGCAAAGGAAACAAAGCTGTTCTGAATTACATTCATTCAATACAGTTTTGTTGACATTGTGATCATGTGCTTGAAGCAGCCTGGTACCGTGAGCTGTAATCCCTCTAGTCTGCACAGGAAAAATTATGAACATGTACGTGGTTTTGCCTTACATGCCGGCCAGCCGCCCGCCTGGAGTAAATGTACTGTGAGCAGTCGGCAAGCAGATACAGCCTGACACCAGCTCATTTTTCTGCGAGTACAGAAAACTAGCAGATTTAGATAGACTAACAAATTGAAGCCAGACTCCAGCTAAACACTTTTCTAAGCAGTTAGAGCAAACTTTTTTTTTTCCTTTTGGGATAAAGGCTTTGCAAATATAATAGCTGATCACTGTAAGCACCCCCATCAGTGTTAGATTGTGTTTCTAACCCCTGTAACTACTACATCTACAGGACAGCTTGTTCTGTTCAAAAACAACAGACCTAGTGGCTGGATCACCAGGTGAAAATAAAGCCTAAAAAAGAAAAAACTAATACAGCCATCACATCTAAGAATTGGTAAACTGTAATATAATAAATGTTTGCTTTTGGGTTTAATACCACTTTAATGACACCCCACCACTGAGAAAAGTGATTTACGAATGAGGTTGCCCAGCCAAATGCAGCAAAATCTGGGGTAGATGGCACTCATCCACTTTGTGTGAACCCTTAGACCAGTCTCATATCTAGTGTCAATTCTTTTCATTTTTTTTTGGTTTTTACATTGGAGCTCTCCTTGTCCCTCCCTTCGCTTAGGGGAGGACTATAAATGGGAAGCACTTTTTAACCTAAGGATATATATATTTATTTATTACACATATATACATACATACACACCGAAAAGTTTGAAAACTTTTTTCATTTCAGTTTTAAAATTTAGCAAATAAGCTTTCTTCATAAAATTTAGGCCAAATGTATTTTGCTACATTTATTTGGCATAAATAACCAAATCTGTGAATATTATTTATTCTGTGTGCAAGTTACAGAGCACACACACGAAAATTGATCAATCCTGGTGTACTTATGGCCCATCTCATTTACGGAGGCCCTAAAATGCTAGGACCTCCTCAAATTACTCCTTTTTGGAAAGTAGACAGTCTGAGGTATTTAGTAAGGGGTATGGTGAGTTTTTCAAAGTTGTAATTTCTACACTCGGTCACCAGAGCAGTACAGCATCATAATATGACTGGTGACAGTATGAAAAAAAAACACAAAAAAAAACAAAAAAAAAACAAACTACTCTGGGTGATCAAGGCTTTTTTAAAAATAAAAATAAAAAAAAAAAAAAAAACACTATGATTGCTTATAACAGTGATGACTCTGAGGGCACCAGTTTTAGTAAATCTCCCCTCAATAAATGGCTAGGAGTGAAAGCCATTTATTGTGTACACTTGACTTGACTGCTGTGATTGGTCACAGCAATCGTATGCTACCAGGGCCAGCCTGGTACAACAAGCTGTCATCCTCTGTGTCCAGTGACTGGGAGTACTTCATGATGTCCACCCGGAGTAATAGTGCTCTTGCCCAGCCGTCATTTTACAAAAGGCCAGGTGGGAGGTGGTTGATATCCATTCATGTTATGAAAGCAGTAATACTTTTTTCTACCTCTCCTGCACAAAGTGTCATGACTGACATTATACCACAATGCCCGATTGCACTGCATACTAAGAACTGTACCACTTATTTCACAGGGATGATCTAGGATTAGATCCTGCCTTTTATTCAGAATGCATGCTAACAATTATGCAATTACCTTTCCTTTGCTCTCCGCCTCCTCCAAATATCTAAATTCCTTTCTTTGGTGTGACCCGACTTCTACTATGTAGAAACGTAGCCCTATTTTGCTTGCTCCCAAGATGGCCTATGGGATTTGTAGTGTGCAACCAACGTACACTGCTTGTTCCAAATAAACAGAAGTGACAGAGAAAAGGAGGAGAGGTTCATGGAAGACGTTACAAGAAGGCAGAAATAGAGGAAAAAAATATGTATTTCATGAAAAAATAGATCAGAGGGTAAGGATTATTTTTGAAGAATAAAAATGTTTAGTGTTGCCTTAAATTAATCTGTCTGTTCCTTTGCCCTGGTAAGGACCAAGCCTGCCTTTTGGGACCATAAATATTGGGAAATTACTATTTGGGTCCCATACAAGACACACATTTACATTTGGGCTCTAAATATTTTAGAGGGTTGAGCATTAAGTTTAAAAAAAAAAAAAAAAAAAAAAACAAAAAAAAAAAAAAAACACAAAAAAACCCAGCAAGAGCTCACGTCACAAATAGTTTTTTGTGAAACCCTGAACTAACGTATCACATAAGCAAGAGTGTCCCCGGAAAGGTTGGGGATATTCAAACAATGTTAAAGAAGTGTTTAAAAAGGCAATATATGCAGAAGATGTGCCAGGGTATGATGGCAGCATGCACAAGGGAGAAGTACAGCAGACTGTACCTATAGGAGTCTACAATGGCAGGCAATGGGATGTTAGAGGGTATGACAGTGGACAAAACACATAGGAGAGGAGCTCGGGGGGGGGGGGGGGGGGGGGGGGGGGTATGATGGGAGTCCACATGAACACAACAAATGTGCTAGGGCAGTGATGGCGAACCTTTTTGAGCCCGAGTGCCCAAACTGCTACCCAAAACCAACTTATTTCTTTCAAAGTGCCAACACTGCAATGAAACCTGAATATCGAGCTTTTGGTTTAGAAAAAACAACTCATACAGTAGTGCAAACTAATTAACAGTACAGGGATGACCAGAGACTGCGGACACAGTACAGGGATGACCAGAGACTGCGGACACAGTACAGGGATGACCAGAGACTGCGGACACAGTACAGGGATGACCAGAGACTGCGGACACAGTACAGGGATGACCAGAGACTGCGGACACAGTACAAGGATGACCAGAGACTGCGGACACAGTACAGGGATGACCAGAGACTGCGGACACAGTACAGGGATGACCAGAGACTGCGGACACAGTACAGGGATGACCAGAGACTGCGGACACAGTACAGGGATGGCCAGAGACTGCGGACACAGTACAGGGATGGCCAGAGACTGCGGACACAGTACAGGGATGGCCAGAGACTGCGGACACAGTACAGGGATGGCCAGAGACTGCGGACACAGTACAGGGATGGCCAGACTGCGGACACAGTACAGGGATGGCCAGAGACTGCGGACACAGTACAGGGATGGCCAGAGACTGCGGACAGCACAGGGATGGCCAGAGACTGCGGACAGCACAGGGATGGCCAGAGACTGCGGACAGCACAGGGATGGCCAGAGACTGCGGACAGCACAGGGATGGCCAGAGACTGCGGACAGCACAGGGATGGCCAGCACTGCGGATGGCCAGAGACTGCGGACAGCACAGGGATGGCCAGAGACTGCGGACAGCACAGGGATGGCCAGAGACTGCGGACAGCACAAGGATGGCCAGAGACTGCGGACAGCACAGGGATGGCCAGAGACTGCGGACAGCACAGGGATGGCCAGAGACTGCGGACAGCACAGGGATGGCCAGAGACTGCGGACAGCACAGGGATGGCCAGAGACTGCGGACACCAGGGATGGCCAGAGACTGCGGACAGCACAGGGATGGCCAGAGACTGCGGACAGCACAGGGATGGCCAGAGACTGCGGACAGCACAGGGATGGCCAGAGACTGCGGACAGCACAGGGATGGCCAGAGACTGCGGACAGCACAGGGATGGCCAGAGACTGCGGACAGCACAGGGATGGCCAGAGACTGCGGACAGCACAGGGATGGCCAGAGACTGCGGACAGCACAGGGATGACCAGAGACTGCGGACAGCACAGGGATGACCAGAGACTGCGGACAGCACAGGGATGACCAGAGACTGCGGACAGCACAGGGATGACCAGAGACTGCGGACAGCACAGGGATGACCAGAGACTGCGGACAGCACAGGGATGACCAGAGACTGCGGACAGCACAGGGATGACCAGAGACTGCGGACAGCACAGGGATGACCAGAGACTGCGGACAGCACAGGGATGACCAGAGACTGCGGACAGCACAGGGATGACCAGAGACTGCGGACAGCACAGGGATGACCAGAGACTGCGGACAGCACAGGGATGACCAGAGACTGCGGACAGCACAGGGATGACCAGAGACTGCGGACAGCACAGGGATGACCAGGAGACTGCGGACAGCACAGGGATGACCAGAGACTGCGGACAGCACAGGGATGACCAGAGACTGCGGACAGCACAGAGATGACTGCTGACCTTTGGGGAGGGAGGGGGAGCGGGTACCTGAATTTGACAGGTACCCGCTCATACTTCCGCAGAGTTTTTTTTTTGATCTTACCTGTTCCTTTATCCAGCCGCGCACTGTCTTCCCGGCTTCTGTAGTGTGGGCGCTCGTCGGACAGCCGGATGCCCAGTGCGCATGCGCGAGAAGCGCTGCGCTTTGTGATTGGTCCGGCGGCTTCTGGGATCTGTCATGTGTCCCAGGTACCGCCTTACCATTCACAAAGAGCACTGCTTCTTGTGCATGCGCACTTGGGACCCGGCTGTCACGCACACTACAGCCGGGAAGACAGCGCGCCGCTGGATTCTCCTGGCGTGCCCACAGATAAGGCTCGGCGTGCCGGCTGTGGCACGCGTGCCACGGGTTCGCCATCACTGTGCTAGGGGGTATGATAGCAACAGTACATGCAGAAGAGAAGGGTATGATCGCAATATGTGCAGTGGTGGAGGCTCTGAACTCAAAGGTGAGCATGGGCACCACATTATTGTGGTAGGGGTTGCCGGGGGGGTAGATATTGAGCACCAGTCTAGTAACCCTGGAAAAAAGAAACATATTTAAAAAAAAGTGTTACTAAAATCTTTTTTTTTCCCTCTTCATTAAAATAACAAACATGTTATACTCACCTGCTTTGTGCAATGGAATGGCCTGATCCTCTTCTCCAGCAATATTGGCTCCTCCTCTAGTCTGCTCATGCCCGAGCTGTGTGTCTATGGAAACAAACATCCGATGGCCGCACATCCAGTAAAATGACCTTTATTTCTTCCTATAGCATATTCCACAAATATGACAGGGATACAGGACTTCAGCTAATGCGTTTTATGCTCCACTAGCACTTAGTCATAGCTATGAAAGGCAATTTTACTAGATGTGCGGCCATCGGATGTTTGTATATTGGAGTTTTTGGTGGACAGAGCCAGCACCTGGGATTTAGTGTGTGTATGTTACTGGAAGAGGGAACCGACCTGGAGCTGTGTTTTTTGTTTATACCATGGGGGTCTATGGAGCTGTACTCTATAGACACATAGTGGGACTTAGAAGAGGGAGTGGGGCTATGTATTTGATTGACAGCTGCAGGATCCAATGGCTCCTGCTCGAGTCCCAGTGTGAAGAGGAAGAGAGGGGCGAATAGATGCACCTGTGCACTGCGCTGTATCTCTTCTCCCCCGCTTTTTCCCTTCACAGAAGGAAGGGAGAAGACAGATCTATATAAACACACACACACTAGATTGCCAAAGATGCCTGCCTTTACATGCACATGAACTCTAATGGCATCCCAGTCTTAGTCCGTAGGGTTCAGTATTGAGTTGGCCCACCCTTTGCAGCTTCAACTCTTCTGGGAAGGCTGTCCACAAGGTTTAGGAGTGTGTCTATGGGAAGGTTTGACCATTCTTTCAGAAGTGCATTTGTGAGGTCAAGCGCTGATGTCAGACAAGAAGGCCTGGCTCACAGTCTCCACTCTAATTCATCCCAAAGGTGTTCTATCGTGTTGAGGTCAGGACTCTGTGCAGGCCAGTCAACTTCCTCCACCCCAAACTCACTCATCCATGTCTTTATGGACTTTGCTTTGTGCACTGGTGTGCAGTCATGTTAGAACAGGAAGGGGCCATTCCCAAACTGTTCCCACAAAGTTGGAAGCATGAAATTGTCCAAAATGTCTTTGTATGCTGATGCCTTAAGAGTTCCTTTCACTGGAATTAGGGGGCCAAGGCCAACCCCTGAAAAACAACCCCACACCATAATCTCCCCTCCACCAAACTTTACACTTGGCACAATGCAGTCAGGCAAGTACCATTCTCCTGGCAATAGCCAAACCCAGACATATCCATCGGATTGCCAGACAGAGAAGCATGATTCTTCACTCCAGAGAACACATCTCCGCTGCTCTAGAGACCAGTGGCAGTGTGCTTTACACCACGGCATCTGACGCTTTACATTGCACTTGCTGATGTAAGATTTGGATGCAGCTGCTCGGCCATGGAAACCCATTCCATGAAGCTCTCTACGCACGGTTATGCTAAATTTGAAGGCTGCATGAAGTTTGGAGGTCTTTAGATATGAACTGCAGACAGTTGGCGACTTCTGTGCCCTGTGGACTTCAGCATGTGCTAACCTCGCTGTCATTTTACTTGGCCTACCATTTTGTGGCTGAGTTGCTGTCCCCGGTTGCTTCCACTTTATTTAATCCCACCAACAGTTGACCCTGGAATATTTAGTATCAAGGAAATTTCATGGAAGGACTTACTGCACAGATGGCAACCTATCAAGGTACCACGCTTGAATTCACTGAGCTCCTGAGAGCGACCCATTCTTTCACAAATGTTTGTAGAAGCAGTGTCCATGGAGATGACTGGAACACCTGAATCCAATGATTTGGAGGGCTGTCCCAATACTTTTGGCAATCTACACAATAGAACACCAGTTTTTTTTTGCAAAATATAAAATATGGTGTTGCGCCAAGTAAATAGATACCAAACATTTCTCGGTTTAAATTTGCGCACGCTTGTGAAATGGCGCCAAACTTTGATATCGAAAAAAATCTCTACAGAAAACTCTTTATAAGCCTTTACAGGTTACCAGTTTAGCGTTACATCGAGGTGATTGGAACACCTGAATCCAATGATCTAGAGGGCTGGCAAAATACTTTTGGCAATATAGAGTGTAAATTAGTGATATTAATATATAATATATATATATATTTATATATATATATATATATACACACACATATATACATACATACTACATACATACATACATACATACACACCATACACACACTTAATGCAAGGAATGCATCAAGGCAACAGAAAACGACAAAATGGCAGGTGATCACCACCACTTCATTTGTGCTACACCCAAGATCATCCTCGAGTCTTTTGGTGGAGTAAAAACTTCATACAGTACACGTGGAGAGTATAGATAAACGACTTATTGGGCAGCACAGTGGCTAAATGGTTAGCACTCCCGCCTGGCAGTACTAGGGTCGTTGGTTCGAATCCCAACCACAGCACCACCTGCCTGGAGTTTGTATGTTCTTACTGTGCCTGCGTGGGTTTCCTCCCATACTCCAAAGACATGCTGGTAGGTTAATTGGCTCCTGTGTAAATTAGCCCTAATATGTGTATGTATGAATGTGAGTTAGGGACCTTAGATTGTACACCCCTTGAGGGTTAGGGACTGATGAGAATGTACAATATATATATATATATATATATATATATATATACACATATAGCGCTGCGTAAATGGACGGCGCTATATACCTGAAATAAACTTAATAAGAGCAGTAGTGTGAATGTGAATGTGGAACTTTCACCTAAACAAGTTTGAAGCTTAGAATACTGCTGAAATACAAATAGTACAGGCAGATTATAAACTACTGGCAAGATTAGAAACATTCTAATTAAATCAAGTTGTGATCTGAGGTTATTTTTACTCCAATGCTTGTTTGGGAAAGAAAGGCTTAATGACTTGTTTTCAAAGACTACATAGGGGCAAAGGCCATGCAAAACACTGAGTGTAAACACAAGAAAAGCCAATCAAAGGTCACTTGATCAGAAACACAGGAGGAAGAATGATCACAGCTACCACTTCTACTACACACCCAGGTTGCTCGGTTCTAAGAAAGCGAGATTTGTGAGTTTTGTTTTTTTTTTTTG